GGAAAATTCTTCGGGGAAAATGATGGGCTGGTAAATTTTATTCATGCTGTCTCATTAGGAAGAGACACTCCAGGAAAATAAGCAGTTTAAAATAGGTATTCTTTTCCTTCACAAATACACAATTAATCTCTGGGACTCACACCCACATGAGGCAAAAGGGCATTCAACAGTCCAGGGCATTTACCAGGAGCATACGAACACCCTGAATTTAAGGAGCATAGATTCTAAAAAAGAAGAAGAAATTTTTGGAAGCAATATATCTTCATGTTTTGTTAGCCATATCTAATTAGTAGGGTATGGAAGAAAGCTCCTGCTTTCCAAATACTTCAGAAACAGCTTTCTAAGATCTTCCTCTGCCTGTGGTCTGTCCTGTACTAGACAGACCAGTTGTTTAATCTAGTATGGCAATTCCATATATACCGTATAGCTGCATACACTTTGATGGGAGAGAGTGAGTAAAAAAGGCTGGCAAGAGGAAGAGGAGAAGAAATGTAAACTTCTTTTGAGTGGAAATAAGGCACTAACCATGATTTTTGGACTTTTAATATTTTTTGGAGTTTGTTTCACTGCTTTCACGTGCTGTGTAATCAAGGCCTTGCAATCAGAGCATCCAGAGCTCTGTACTCTTGTTGGGAAGGACTTGGATGAGAGCCTAGCTACTCTTGCGAAATGGAAGACACAAACTGTAGTCGTCCTTCAGCTCTTTGCTCTGTCTCTGATTTCTCATGTCGTTTCGGACAAGCTACTTAATATTTCACTGCCTTAACAATATGTGGGTACTTTCCTACCTCCTCTAGGTGTTAAAAGAGTAAGTATATCCTGAATAACAGAGGCAAAAAAAGTAGGCACCTTAGGCTAAGGGTACTCCTGCTCGCAAATGTTTTACATGTGTGCCCCTGGTTATGTCTCTCTCCTTGCACGCAGAGATCAGAGCTAGATTTGCCATCCAGCATCACAAGATGATATGAAAAATGCCATGTATTTTTCAGTAGGTAGCATGTAGAGCAAATGCTTTTGTTTCCTGTAGGACCGGTTGACATGTCAGAGAATTAGCTTCAGTCCTTGGTTTGCAAATGCTCAGTTGTTAAGTGCATGCAAGGGAGCAGAGCTGAGATTTCATGCCGTTGCTGGGAGCTCACCTTTTGTCATCATCAGCAAACCAAGATTTTAAAGCAGTCAGCCCCTCCAACACCACATGATGGAACTCACAGCTAAAACATGGCACATCTGTCAAGTCTTGCCCTGAGAAGCTGCCTTGAAGATTGCAAATCCTCCTGTCCAGAACAGACAGTGCAAAGGCAGCAATCAAGGCAATGTGTGAAAAGCTTCCCTTTGCAACCTGCACAATTACTGACCTATTCAGAGAAACCTCCCCTTTTAGCTTTTAACTCTGCTAGACAATTTACTCTGTCTCAGCTGTCTCACTGCATTATGTCCTTCAAACCCTCTGGAATTAACATTTCGAGCCAGCAAACACTGCTGGCTCCACAAGAAAAGCTGAGAGCGGAAAGGTCAGGTCGATTAAAGCGGTTGATCAGAATCTTTAACATAAAGACGTCACAGGCAAAACAGTAACGCTACTTCACGCTCAGCTAGGAGCAAATGATTCATCAGGCAAGGCTGCTTATTTTTGGAGGATGGCCACAAAAGAGAAGAGAACATGCTGGCTGTATCGATCACGGTTGTAACAGGGGACCGCAGAGCCCTTCTTCAGTTTTGATGGAGATTTAATGTCGGAAATACATCATCCAATGTAAATATATCAATACATATTTTACATCGAATGGATTTTAAAAACGTTCTGGCCCAGCTTAGCAGAATCATTTTGTCTCTGCACGCATCTCAGAGCTGTCATTTAGAGCAAAGGGCTATTTCGCAATGCTCTGCACAGCTTGATGCTGCTAAAGATGCAACCATTTTGTGAGGACTTTTGTGAAGGTGGCTGGGGAAGCAGGTGTGCTCTGAAATCGCCAGTGCTTTGGTCTAGAGGGTAAACCTTCAATGGATGAAGATGTACCAGTGTTGAGCAGATGCAGCCTAAAGGATGCTTTCATCTGGCTTACTCCCACGGCCTCCTGTGTCCAGAAATCATTGGAAATCCTGTCCTAGCAGGCACTGCTGCCCAAGCAGCCGCACCCCCCTTGTGCTGCCTCCAGTCCCTGCTCATACCTTGAGCAGAGAGCTCCTGCCTGCCCCCTTACAGCACCCCTCTGTCTGTTCCTTGGTAAGAGCAGAGTGGGTCTCTGCAGTGGGAGAGGCAGCAGGCAGAAGCGAGAGGCACGTGTTTGTACGTGGAGGTGGGATAAGCTGCTCTGGGAACTGGCAGCCTGAAGAAGGGATCCAGAAATCCAGATTCAAAACCTGTGGCAGTCAAAGGGGGATCATTCTGTTCTGACACCAGCCCAGCTGTTTCCCTCCCTCCTTGCCCTCCCCTTCCTTCCCATCACTCCCCCAGGGCTAATAAATATATACTTAATTCATTTAATTCCCATGGAGGTTTGGCATCAAGGCGTAGAACTCAAAGTTTACAAGATGAATGAGTGTGAGGAAAACCCTGAAGCAATCAGGGAAGAAAATGCAGCCAAAGAGAATGACTGGTGAAGAGAAGGAAGTGGGAATTCCTGGAGGATCTTTCCTCAGAGGAGCGTGCGAAGGGAGGGGGCAGAGAAGTGTAAGTAAGCGCAGTGTGATGAGACGTAAGGGCAGGAGCACCAAGGAGTGTGCAGGAAGGCCCCTGGCGGAGAAGGAGAAGAGGGGCGAGTGGAGGTGGCAGCCTGGCAGGCAGGAGCAGCTGTGCAGGGTTGCAGGAGTGAGCTTTCAGGGAGACAGAAGCCAATGGAGGACCCTTCGGGTTGCTGAATCCAACCCCTGCAGTCGCTGGCAACTGGAACAGAGCCATGCGCTCCAGGAAGGCTGGTGAACATCACAGTGCCCACCCCAGCCCACAAAATGTTTCTCAGAGCCTTGTAGCATTCCTAGGACCTTCAGCCTGGAAGACCAAGGGTTGCATGCTGCAAGAGGAGATCAAGACAACTTCTCTGATACTGTGGCTGGAGAGATGGGAGAGGAAATGACTTTAGCAGCAGTGCTTGGGATGCACTGAAGAGGGGAGGCCGAAGCAGAGTTCATTACAGACCCAAAGGGTACATCTGTGTTGTGTAACACTGTGTAGTGTGGAGGCAGTCGCAGCTCTCTGTGCTTTGCCAGAGACTAATTCCTGGAAAGGGTAGCACAGCTGTACTCCTGATAGTCTAAACAAGCTGGTTCCTTTATGGCTAGTGCAGATGTCTTTGCTATATATTGCATAACGTAGACATACAATAAATTCCTGTCAATAAGGAGTTTAAAATAATTCAAGGCAAGCTCTGCAGTAACAAAGCCATTGGTCACCAGAAGCAAAGGAATGATGCAGAAGGAGGTGAGGTGCAGAAGAATCAGAAATGCCCCACAGAGAGCAATATTTTGCAATTTTTTCCAAGGCTGATGTTTTCTCTGTAATGGTCTGCTACCTTTTGAGTCAATGCTCTCCTAATTTAGCCTGCAATATCATGTAGTACCCAACACACCCTCAATCTGCAGTTGTGACTCTACCAGCCCCTCTACAGAATTAATTCAGCTCTGAATTAGTCATTCGACGTGCCAGCGCATGTAAAATAGACTCAAGTGAATCAGATTCTGTGTGCTGGGACTGAATTGCAGTAAATACAGTGGCTGGGAGAATCTCAGTCTGCATCTGGGCTTTTACATCTGGAGGGATACTCTTTCTCCAGTGGCTGTGCAGGATCTGAGCAGGACAGGCACACAAATGAGCTGGGAATGAAACCCCCAGCACACCACAGCACACCACACCTCCTGCCCTCTGCAGTAATGCTGATGTGGCAGCATAAAAAATGTGGAGGCATAAAAGAGAAACCCAGGGGAGGGCTGGAGTAAAAAAGTGCCTAACGATAGTGAAAAAAAAAAAAAGAAAAATCTAAAAATGTCCTCTTAGGCTGAGCTGCTTTAGCTCTGAGTACCCATCTAGCAGACACTGGGGGAAAGCACACACGGCATGTCAGCCTGCATTAGGCTTGCTTGGGCTGAAGGAGGCTAACCCCATAGGCACTGTGTCATCTAGTGAGGCCAGCAAGGAGCAAAGTGAGGTATGCTGGAAACGCTACCATTACTGGTAGGACTGGTCAGAGTCCACTGCAGAAGGCATCTGCCTTGCAAGCTCAGGTGTGGCACCTAGAGATGCCAGCGATGCCTGCAGCAGGGTATTTATGAAGGGACATGGATGAGGGAGATTCATCGGCATGGAAAGGCTGAGGGTCTTGGGCCTCATTCAGCCAGAGCTGGAGGAAGCCAGCTAGGCAATTCACCTTGAGGACAGTCCAGTTCAAGAAATCTCAGGGAAGAGTGAGAAGGGGAAAAAAGAACCAAAAAGAGGTTTTCTCTTCATGAGGATATTACATTAATTTTCTCCCATTGGTCTTCTCCTGTGGAAGCAGCAGTGACCAGAGTGTGTAACATCAGCGGTAATGCCATGTTGGCAGTGTATGTAATGTGAGGGATGGATGGTGAGAATTGAATGTTGGTCTTCAGTTTCCAGCGCTTCTTTTGGGATGGAATCAGGGCACATCCCAAAACCAGAAGGGGGAGATGCAGGTTGAAAAGATGTGAGCTGTAATTTTATAAGATTATCTGACTCGTGCAAAATGGCTGTCGGTTGGGCCAGAGATGATGTGGGAGATGCTCAGTTCAGCTCTGTCATCGGAACTGGACCTGATGGGTCCATCTGAACTCCCAACCTTTACCAACCTGATCATCTGCCAGATGCCACCTCCATGGTCTGTGTCAGCCCAGACAAGCTCAGACTTGATCTGTACATCTACCCACAATGTCTCAGCTTTAATTATTAATGATATCCATAAGAACTGTGACTGGGCTGGTAAACTCTGGATGGGGTTATGCCCCCAAAGAAATCTAATCCTGATATTTCTTTCTCTGCAGGGGGTGGAGGGAAACGCAAAGGCAAAAGCAAAAAGTGGAAGGAAATCTTGAAATTCCCTCACATTAGCCAGTGTGAAGATCTCCGAAGAACAATAGGTAAGAGCTTTTCCCTTCTTTGGAAGTATTGCATAAATAAAACGTGCTATCAAAGCTGGTTCATTAGAGATGGGCATGCAATGCATATACCTCCCACGATGCTGCCGTACAAACTCAACATTTTCTGGTTCCTCACAAGGCACTGTGGATCGGGCAGGAGAGAGTGGCATAACGCACTGGCAAGGCAGGGCTTGGGGCTGGCAGTGGCCAGGCCCTTCACTTTGCATGCACAGGCTCTAGGAGCCAAAGGGACTTAACAGTTGGACAATACCTGGCATATGGGACAGAGGCTTTGACTTGGTACCTACCAGGGCCAACGTGGCTGTAAAAGGACATTCAGAAATGAATCCCCTCATCACATCCTGCATTTCCCTGTAATAACTAGCTCTTTATCAGGGAGGAAATGAGACTTGATGAAAGCAGAGAGATTGCTGATGTAGTTGATGGTTAATATTAATTATACTCTGGATAAGATGTTTGAAGCAGCAGCCACTGCCCTCTGCCAGGCAGGTTTGCTCAGCAGTACCATCCTCTATTCAAACCAGAACACTACTTTATGTAGTTTTTTTATGGGATGTGTAAAAATTTTTTTTAAATTTCTTCGTTTTATTGATGTGGGCCAAACACTGCAGATTTGGAAGGGAGCTTGCAGTGGCCATTTATCGTAACACAGCATTTCTCCTGCTCATACCTGCCAGAATTCAGCATTCTTTTGACTGCTGCCTTGGCAAACAAGGCTAACAGCTATCTCCTTGTGAATTCTCCACTGGAAAGCGCAGTATTACTGATCTCACCAGAAGAGGTTAACTGCAGCAATTGAGGCTTCTTTTCTCCCCTCCACTGACATAAAATCCAGCCACTGGCAATGAATGAATGAAAGGCAAGAAAGTGTAACAACTGAGATAACGGGCAGCATAATTTGTCTAACTTGGGTGAACTCCTGGGGTCTGAGTGACAGTGCCCTGGCACTATGTACATTCAACATTCGCAGCGTGTTTTTGCAGAGAAAATATGTGGAATGTTTTGAAACTCTTTTCACGGTCTGCTTCAGTAAACTTTCCTTCCCTCATCTTCTGCTGTAGATCTAAAAGCAGGTAAAGAAAGGAGGGGGAGGCAAGAGAAAAGAGCATAGGTTTTCCCAGTTTATGGCCACTCGACAGATACACAAACCCTGGAATAATTTCTGAAGGTACAGAACCTGCTGGAAGCAAATCTGACTTAATATATTGTAATTTGCATAGGGAATTCTCTCCGTTGTTCCATCAGCCTTGGTTTCTACAGGGGAAAATGGCAGCAGATAAAATGCTTGCTCTTCACAAAGCTGTGAAGAGTAAAATGAGTAGTCTTAAAAAAATTAAGTCTGCCAATGATTTCTGTTTCTAAAATGCTGTTTCTGGCATTTTATTGGTGTCAGCTTTGTCCGAAATGTAATTTGTTTTGCGTTTTTTTGGTGAATAAATAGGTGAAGAAACAGGGCAAGATCCCTTATGATGCTCTTGGTGGATTTGGCTCCACTGCAAAGATTACCTGTAGACTGGGAATTTTAGCAACTGACTTTTACACAGTGGGAAATAAGGTCCAAATCCTTGTTCTGTGACTCTGATTTTTATTGAGTAGCCTTCCCACTGAGCTGGATGTGATTACACAAGGAATGAGGCGCTGCTCAGCCTGAGTAAGGTCACCTGTCCTTGCTGGCTCTACAGTTTTTCAGTTGATCTAGCTGAGGTTGAAACATCCCAGGCAAACAGTTGCTGTTTAGAAACTTCTTGCTCATACAGGGGATCTGACACATCTTGGATGAGCCAGACTCTCTGGCTCTATAGCATTAAGTCCTTTGCACGTGTGTGGTTGATCTGAGGTGCTCAGGACGGATCTGTTGCACGTGCAGATCCATCGCACTGGGCTCTGTGTGGCTCATGGACATCCAGGGACAAGCACAGGTCATTGCAGTCTGGCCTTAAACTGCGTCTTTTGTTGCCTCTGCTGAGGAAGAACAACTCTTTAACCCATCTTCATTTGTTATTTTCTGCAAGTCCTTTAAAAGGATCTCAGGCTTTCAGGCGACAAGGTGTCTCCGCAGGTGATTTTGTGAGGGAATGTACTGAAACATCTTTCTTGAACCATCAGCTGAACTGCTCTGGGATTTGCAGGGAATCCAACTGCTCGGTGTGCCTGCTATCAGTCCCTCCCCTAACAACTTCTTAGCCCACTGGTCAGTGCCAGTCGAATTTGATAATGAAATAGAGACCCCAGAGAGGCTTTTTCCTCCAATCTCAATGGAAATAGGCAACCAGCAGAGAACAACTTTATGCAAGGAAAAGGCTACAGCCTCAATTCAATGTGTTTAGAGATCCAGACAAATACTGGTAGGTTCTGCTCTTTGCTGTGTGTCAGCCTCCCAGCACTTTTGGTCAGACACAGTCTTGCCACTTTGCCACATGTTAAAAAAAAAACATCACACTGAGTCCTAGAGGGTTGCCTGAACTGGAGGACTAGGCTGTTGAGGTTTTGTTGTGCTCCTCTTCTCTGGATGCTTCCCAAGAGCCTCTGTGGAAAAGCTGGAGGCAGGGATGGGATGGACCTTTTGATTTAGAGCGGGCATGGGCTGTGAAGAAAGGCACGGCTTAGTTTAATGCAGCCATAAGCCATGGAAAATGCTGCTGTTGTACTTGTGGCAATACAGCCTACATATGTGTGTAGGTGCCCACGTTTTGGTGTAAAAACGTGTGTGCTTTTGCACCCCACTAAGGTGTACTGAAAAGAGTCTGTGTCTTAAAAAAAATAGTGTAGTGTGAAAAGAAATCTGTGAAAAACAGGAAGGCTGAAATAAACCAAGGGTCTGCGACCTGTGTTGACACAATTATGAGTCAGTTCATACCTTTTGGTTCCCTCTATGTTTACAGGAGACTCTGTGTTTGACTATCCATCATCTGGTGTCTTACTGAAAGACTTGCTTAGTAAAGCCCTTTTTTCCCCTCCTTCTTGTGCACAGAAACAAAAATCAAAACACCCGAGAGAAACACTGTTTTTTTGATGAATAAACAAACACTGGAAACATCTTTATTAAAAGTGCCATTTAGCCAAGGAGCTATTTTTTTGGATTGCACTTCAAAGCAACTTCTTTTCTCCTTTCTTTTTTGTCCAAAGTACACAACACCTTTTGCAGGGAAATTCAGTGGCCTTCATTGTGTGCTAATTAAATAGGCAAGTGGAGCAGGGATGCTACGTTAATACCTTTACTGGGCTCTGAGAGAGGCTTGTATATGTATGCTTGTATACTATGAATGGCTAACGTATATTTCTGTTTGCAGCCCTCTTCCCGGCTGTATTTAATTGTATTAAAACAGCTAGCCCTTTCCAGGTTAATATTGGCATTAGCAGCCCTTTCAGTCGGTGAAAACTGGTGTTTGAGACACTAGTGACTCTTGTGATGGATGCTGCTAGTCAATGGTGTTCTGCTATCTTTAAAATTCACAGATGATAGCTTAGAAAAAGAGAAATGTTTCACGGGAAGGGAAAAAATAGCAAGGCGCAGCTTTAAAAATTCCCACATTTGACAAACACGGTATGAAGAGATGCCACAAGTTAGGGATACCCACTAGTTTAAAGGCCATCAGTAAACAAAAATATAAGAAAAAGTTGTAATTTTGAAGGCCAGAGTGTCTTTTTGATGATAAAAGATTCTAGATGTCTGTAAATATTTCTGAATGACGCAAAAGGTTCTGTCGGTTAAAAGTGTGGAATTTTTATTTATTTTGCTCAGACCCATTCTGTGCTTTTTTCTTCCATAAAAAAACTGCTTGGGTGAAAGAGTTGATTATTCTGATCTTTGGCAGATTTTCTTTCGCAACTGTCCAAATGCTATATAATAAATCAAGACTTTTTTTCCCCATAGATTGAAGTTTGTGGGGAAACTGCCACAGAATGTGTCTGCTGTTTGTTGCATAGAGTGATTTGTTGCATTATTGCAGAAAACTTTAACTCCTTCAGTAAAGCAGTTTCTGGTTGTGCATTGTACTCAGGTAGAAGGAGAACTCTGATGATTTCTTGTGTTAAATATTTATACTCAGTGAGATTTCACAGTCAGAAAGATCAGCCCTATTAATACTAATTTTGCCATGCTTGGTTTAAAAAGAGAAAAAAAATCCTTCCTCTGCCATTTAACCTCTTACGTGACATTTGTGTCCCATTTATCCAAGGTAAAAGTAGCTTGAGCTTCCAATTCTGGCAGGTTCTTTTCAGTGTTGTTAAAAATACACTTCTGTGTGAGAAACGCTTTGTAGAGATGGCGAACAGAGTAAGTGGGACAAAATTGAAGCCACGGAGTTCACATGCTCACTGTTTACAAAAGCTGGCTCTTTTTTCCCCCCACTTGTTTTGTATTGTACTTTTTCAGACAGGATCAAGACCTTCACCTACATGATTTTTTTTCCTGTCACTTTGGAATTTATCTACCTGCAGTCATACTGATGGTGCAGGCTCTGCAATAGGGTTCAGACCTACCTAAACGAGGTTTTTTGAGCCACCAGCATGGGCACTGATAGCAATCAAGAAGCAGCAGTATTGGACATCAGTGACAGAGAGATGCTTGAGTATTTATCCAGCTTCCTAGAAATGCTTTGCAGCCTGCACTGAGCTCCATCCTGTGGCAGAAAGACAGCTACTATACCCCAGTTATCTCGTCTAAAGGTAGCTTGGGCACCTCTGCTAGGCTCCACGGTGCTGGGATATCTTTCATGAATTCCCACCAGGAATTCTCAGGTTCCTTGGCTTCAGATGTTTGTCAGTGCTGCAGAGATAAATGCATGGGTGAAGGGTCTTGGAAAAGAAAAGTGTGAGTTTCCAGGCTTACAGGCGAGGGAAGCTGCCTCTGAGAGATCAAGTGACAACATGGAATATCGATGTTCATCGCGGGATAACGTGTCTGTGTGGTACCCTGCCCCGCTTCGGCTGGGGACGGCGTCAGGCCCGGGGGTGTATCCGCTCAGGGAACGGAGAGG